ACAAGGAGTTTTTTCGTGATATATTGGCTAGAAGAAATCATCTGGATGACTTCACGAGTGGAAGAAGGATCGAAATCTGGAGGAGGGGTCATAGTGTGACCAGTGTGGCTGAAGATTTCGAAGTCAACAAAATTGTCGTTTTCGCGGCGCTTGGAAAGCCTTCCAAACCATAGGTACGGCTATTAGAAAGGTTGGTGGTGGCCGCTCCAAGGAAAAAACTGCAGCAGATGACCGATATATCGTCTACAGGCGAAAAGAGCCCAAAACCAGTCAGCAAAGTTCCACAGTTCAGCAACTGTGTACAGCAACGGGGCGACAATTGTCGTGGTTTACTGTGTGCAGACACCTTCACAAAGATGCCCTATTCGCCCTGCCGTCCTGAACGCTGCATCCCTTTGAAAGTTGGCCATCGGTCACCGTTTAGAGTGGTTGCAAGAAGCGCAAAAAACTAGTGCATCTCATCATTGGAGTCGTGTCCTCCTTACAGATGAGAGTCGTTTTAGTGCCCCAAGCGATTCTCAGCACAAATTGATTTGGAGAGAGGTCGGAAGGAATACTGATTTAATCTCAGTAACATCACGGAAGGAGACCATTACGGTGTCCTGGAAGATCTCGTCTGGATTAGGCATTGATGCTGAGACGGGCGGACAGAGCTCCACGTTTTTCGACAGACAGAAGTTCTGTAACCGGTAGATTCGCTATTGTCAGGAGGTGATCCTTCCCCATGTGCGTGTGTTCCGAGGTGCAATTGGACTAGACTTCGTTTTTATGGACGACAATGCACGGCGATATCGACACTGCTGTTCAGAAGCTACTGAAAAGTGAAGATATCACTCGAATGGATTGGCCAGAGTACTCCGCTGATTTAAATCCCATAGAACATGTATGGGATGCTTTGGGGAGACGCTTTGAGGCACGATTACATCCTCCGGCGAACACCCAACAACTGAAACAGATGCTGATTGAGGAATGGACACTCTCACCTCAAGATCTGTTGGACAATCTGGTGCAGAGTGTGGAGAGACGGTTCGAAGCAACCATTTGCAGTAAGGGAAGGGCATATCCTCATAGTAAGGAACATATGCTTGTTGTTCTTCCTCTTGTACAGACAATCATGTGTAACGATGCTATGAATTCAATAAAGCCTATTTTTGTTTGATTTCATACTGTATGCATTGTATTCATTTTTAGCGCAAGTATGCTTTTGTCATGGTTTAAATACAAAATACTGTCTCTTAATTCTGAATTTCATGTCTCTCAGATGATTTCTCGTGGAGTTATGCAAAAAAGAACACCTGTTGCTTAAGTTTTGCACACCAGTGTATAAGGGCATTTCTAGATTAACGACGTACTATAGCCCCCCTTATATTTTGATCTATTCAGGCATCGCCGCTCCGCTGACTGATCTTTTAAAGGGCAAAATAGTAAAAGGGATTTTCTGTGGAGTGCAGAGAGCGAGAGGACTTTCACTACATTAAAAGAGAAATTAACCAGTAACCCAGTTTTATATGCACCCGATTTTATTTTTCTCTTCATTTTACAAACCGATGCATCTGATCATGGAATGGGAGTTGTATAAGCACAACTCTTTAGCAACGGAGAACATTCACTTGTATTCCCGAGGAAGAAGTTTTCAGAGCTTCAGAGAAAAAATATTGCACTATCGAAAGACAATGTATCAGCATCGTTTTCGGTATCAAGAAACTTTACCGGACAGGCTTTTACTGTGCAAACTTACAGTAATACTCTCACTTGGTTACGAACTAATGCCAGTACAAATACTCGCTTAATGCGATGGGCTCTTGCTCTTCAGTCATATAATTTCAGAATTATTCATCGTAAAGGAAACTCAATAAGAATGCCGATGAGTTAAGCCGTATAATTTAAGATTATATTCCTCTATATCTTCATTTTGTGACGGTCTGTTTAGAGTTGTATAAATCTGTATAATGGTTCAAAAGTGCATATTGTATATACTTGTTCGCAGATAAAAACTGTAAGATTATATTTTGTCTGAGTATAATTAAGCTTAGTCATTAATAATTGTATTTTTTTTTACATTTGCCTCAATGTAAAGTTTCAATTTTAATCATTGGCAGTAACGCAGCATAATGTAAATATTTGTGTTTTATAGTAATTTTTTGGCTGACTTTATGTGTCTCTAGTAGTAGTAATTAAGCAAAAACATGCTGGACATGGACGACTGTCCCCCCCCGAGAGTTTTAATAACATAACATATGACATTAGAGAACTTTTTGTTTTGTGGGGAAATAACCCCAGAATCTTCCGTGAGCCGGTGATAGTGATCAATAAAGACTCGTTAAGAACACCCCCTTGACGGTATATCCGTTACTGATCTGGTAAGAGAAAAGAAAATGTAGCTTTTGTCTGAGAAATGCCTAGAGAGTAAGCCGCATGGTGCGTCGGGAAAGGTGTTGTCTTTCCTCTTCTGTAATAATATTGTAATGTTATTTTTAATCTAACCAAGACAGCCTATGTTAAGTTTATAAATAAATCTAAAAAAGACAACCGGTCTTAGTTTTTTCATTCCGAAAGCTCGGAGACGTCACAATAGTCTACCTTTCTTAATTTAGTAGGTAATGCCGAGAAAAATGTAATGTAATATCAAAGCACTTAGACATATGCTATATTTTCTTCATTAAAATTTTATGACCTATAATCATCATATACAAGATGTGTCTGAAACGTTGGGCGAATGGTGTCTTGGGCTGTCGCTTGGTATTCCGATCGTACTGGTAGCACAAGGTCTCGTCTCCTGTAATAATGGTTTCAAAAAATTGCAAGTTCCGGTCAGATATGTCGATAAAATCTCCAAATTTTTCTATCGGAGTTTGCTTCTGCTCGTCTGTCAGCGTATGTGGTACAAACCGGACACATATCTTCTACTTTTTCAAATGTTCGTGAACAATAATGCTTACACTGTTTTTACATATATTCAACCTTTTTGATATCGTTCTCAAAGACAACCGCTGATCATTCGCAAGCATCTGTCGCACTCATTCGATGCTTGCCCGAATGCGGCTAAAGCGTTTAAACCACTCGGACACGCACTTTTTACTCACTGCATCTACAATATGCACTTTCACTAACATTTCATGAGTCTCCGTCTTTGATTTTTTTGACTTTGTCTAAACTGTAACGGTCCTAAACAGGTTGAACGACGTCGTAGTTTGAATCCGTAAGTTATCAAATTCTAAGCCGAAAGTAGTTCATAACGACAGGTTAGCCCCTTACTATGGCCATATTACGTAGTCCCCACAGTGTATATAATGCAAATATTATGCTAAGACTATGATCTTATGTGTATATAAATCTGCAAATTCATGCATTTACTTATTGAATTAATATTTGATTTGCTGTACACTATTTATTGAAATTGTTATTTTACTTTTGCATTAATTTTCCTTAACTGTAAGTAAAGCTTCCTTTCTAAGTATGGTTCCTGTTATGAATACATTTTATAAAGTTACCATCGGTTCTGTGTGCATTCAGTTCGTTATGAACCTGTATCCACGCAACAATGCTGTTTGGATAAACATAGTAATGTATAATATTGAAATAAGATAAAACAAATGCAAATATTAACAGATTAAACACTGATGGAATCTTCATACACAAATCTACAAATGTCTGCAGAGATCAAGACAATTCAGATAAAATGAAATTTAATAAAAAGATTTAATAAGATCTACAAACTATAGTATGAAAAAATAGAATTTAAATGAAATAACATTTGTATCTTCTAAAATTTTTATATTTATGTAATCTCTGAAACATATCTGTTCTAACTTAAAATTTGGAAAAGATTTTTATTTTAACAGATTTCTTATTACCATGTTTACATTTCACAAATCGGGAAATTCCGGATTTGAGAAAGTAACAATTCTGGAATTCCGGCTATATCCGGACCACAATCGTATATGGAGAAGTTTGAAAGGAAAAAAAAAAGAGTGTTTTTAATAACCGAAGAAATGCAATCGTTGCTTTTTGCTCGGAAAATGGAATTGCCATTATTTCTCTAAAGATGAACACTTCTTAAAATTAACGTCAAAATGTCAGCTCACAACTCAGATCCATGTTCTGCATGCATAATAACTTTCAGCGTGGCTTCGTAGTGCTGTCACTTTGGCATAATTTTGGCGTGAAAAAAGGAATCAAAATTTAAAAAATACAGTTATTCAACTTAGATGTTTTCTAAACTTAAAGAAGATTCAGATAACTTTATTTTCAATGGAACTCTTGTACTTACAGGTGAAGTTTCCATGTAAAAAAAGTAAAACACAAAGTGCTAAATGCAAATTATTGAAAAAAATTGCGATTAGACGCAACCCCATTTTGGACAGGCTTAAACGAGGAAAACGGCGTCGTTTTTATTACAAGAAATGCAGTAACAGTCTCTTGTTATAAATTAGATGAATTGTACTGATCTCGGAAACTTAAGCACACGTGCAGGAATTCACTAGTTACTGATAAGAAATTTCAAACTACTTTTCGATATATATAATATAAATTTTTCATGTAAAATCCCTTTTATTTTCGGGTGATTTTATTCATAAGTATTCCTGTAGCATTAAAAAAATTAAAAGGAATTAAAAAAGGAAATTAAACGTACATACTACATGATGCATTAAAAATTAATGCAAACCCATATGATGGATATGCGTTTACTTGCTGTTGGAAGCGCTTTCATGTGAAATATTGTTTGAGTTTGCAGTATTTTATAACGAATTTAATGATGCTTTAATCATTAATATTAGATTTGATTAATATTAGAAAATGCATATCAAGGATTGTGATTTTCATAAAACTCATATTACCAAAAATTAGCATACCTTAATATATGGTGCTTTTAAAAGAGAAAGTCTATGAAGAAGAAAAAGGTGAGATGATTATAAAAGCCTATCGGCGGTTGCATAAAATTAGAAGTTGTATCATAGACAATTAAAAGAAATCTCATATTGGGACAACATATAAATTCATTAAAGAAGTAAATAAAATTTAATAAATAAACACATATAGACAATATAGCATATGGAGTAAACTACAATCATATTTAAAACACATGAACAAAATAAATTACTAAATTTGTGAAAAACAAAACATCTACAGAGATGAATATACAAGAAAACCAAACAAAAATATTTAAATTTCAGAGCTCGAAAACATTTCTTTTCAGAAATAATAGAGAAGCTGGGTTCGAATTGCTTCGGAAATCAAAATTATACCTATGGATTATAGGTTAATAATACAATAGTAAAATTTGGAGAAGGTTTCTTATTTACTAATTCATATATTAATTTGTTATTTCTTATTTTCTTCCTACTTTCATCAAAGTAACATTGTTAAATTCAGGCTCCATAATTACAATGCAAATTAATGACTATTCCATTAGGCATTTCTGAACAAAATGAAAGGGAAAATGAATCATACAGTACTTTTATTAACCGTTTCTGAATCAAGGAAAAATTGCTATGTGGAAACTAATAAGCTATTTTCATTGAAGTACTGATATTCAGTAAAAATATATTGTTTACGAAATTAATAAATTTCTTTTTTATACATTGTGTAGTTCACTAATTGATGAAATATTGGTATTTATAGTTAAGCTTAAAATTGTGTGTAAAAATCATAAGTACAAACTATTTCAGAAAATAAAAATAGCTCCAATTAAAATGTCTTAAATTAATGAATGAATTACATTTTGATTAGTTATTGATTAATTTAGATGATGTTAAATAATAATCTGGTAACTAAAAATCTTAATTTTTCCAATTTCAGTATTTTACTCTTACTGCTTCTTATACCGTGTAATTTCATTTTATTTATTCATTTACTAACAATTGCGATAACTCTTTCTCTAGATCGATTTGATACAATAAAAGCATAATTCATCGTTAAGTCCTACATGTTTCCTACAAAAACAGGTTAGGATCCTGAACACGAAAGGACTGTGAGGATATTGCCGGATATGCTGGGCAGGATTTCTTTATGAAGGCTCTGGAATATGCCGAAACCGGAACATTAGCTCGGAGATATTGGTTTCTTCTAAATTTTATCACCTTTATAAAAGTTCTTAGTTGAAAACAAGGACATGGTCGAGAATATGTTAGGATTTTGTGAAAGAGTTGTGAATCAACTGATTTGTGCTGGCAGTCGAGAATCACTTTGAATTGTCATAAAATGTCACAAGCAGTGAGAAGAAGAGAAGAATATGAAACACAACAAGAACGCTGTAGCTGAATACTGGAAGGGTGCTACTACAGAAAGGGTCTGCAGTGCGAGGAGCTGTTGTATTGAACTGTTCTTCAAAAAAATCTTCATTTTTAGTACTCGTTCTGTTGCAAGCATTGTCTTCATCAGATGACTGGACGAAAAGCACAGTAGTTCCTGATAGAAAGATATGGAATAAAGATTATAATTTTAATCAAAGCGGATTTTTATATCAGCAGTTAATCTTAAAAAATTAATTTTATATTTAGAAAAGTTATGGTATACTTACGAGTCAACTGCATTAACGTGCACAACTTAAACACGGACTTAAAGAATGCCATGAAATCGGAGAAAATGGCTTGTATCGATTAGCGCAATGCACATTCAGTGGGGCAGAACTACTCGTATAATTCCCATGGAAATAGCCGGAAGAAGGTATATCAGGTCACACGAAAGCACATTGAAAGTCTGTGGCAGACACGCGTAGCGCATAACGGTAAGCAAACAGAGGTTGTAAGGGTTATTAAAGGACGTTCATTCCAAGTGAGCTTCACATGTAACACAGCAAAAAGAAACCACGCTCATGACTTCATACGTAAGAGAATTATCAAGAAGTCTCAAAAGGGGCGTAGCTTGATGAGTGTCACCCAAGAGCATGGTACCGACCACAGTTCCTTTCACGTATTTGGAGAGCCTTTCAGAACACAGCTATAGTTGTGAAAGAGGTTATTGTTGGGCTGCCAAAATCCATGGCGTTAATGTGTGACAAAAGAGCTCATATCCAGTCAATGGACAACATTACTCAGAAGCTGCAAAAGGATGTCAAGTATCGCTTCTGTTTGAATTATACTAAAACTAATATTAGAATAAATACACATGAATGTTTGTGATTTTCATAAATGTCATATTCAAAAATTGGCATACCTTAAAGTATAGCTTATGTTACTATAGCCAGATGTCTTCATAAAAGTTGTCTATTTGCCCATTGTTCTAATGTTGTATCCTACTAATGTCCTCCCGTTAGCGGTGTATTTTAGATTGGTGCAAAGATTATAAAGATGGATACAATGAATGCATAATTAATGGCAATAAGTTCTCTTTACAAATGGGAGTCGTTAACGCGTCATGAATGATTCTGTATACCAGCTATAGAGAGAGGTACAGAGGAGGTTTGTTTTCCCAATTAAGATCAGATAAAGGACCATTATTATTATCTTGGCATGTTCGTCTGGGAGATATTATGCTGAATTATAGCATTGTTCTTTACAGTTTCGATGATTTTGCAACTAACGGAGATCTTTTTTGTCAAAAATTTATTCTTCCCCACGTGCATGTATTCCGAGGTTCCATTGATGCAGACTATCGTTTTATAGGCTATAAGATCAGAACACATCAGACTTGAGCTGTTGGTGAGCTGCGAGAATGTAAGGACATCATTCGACTCGACTGTCCAACATTCTATCCTAAAAATTAGAGAACATGTGCAGGATGCTTTGCGAGGACGACTTTCCGCATACAAGGATATCCGCTGGACGCAAAAACTAAACAGATATTCATCAAGTACTGAGAGCTTACGTCAAAAACTGTTCGATGATCTAGTTTTGAGAATGGAGTGATGGTACCACCTAAGCCCTGCAGTTGAGAAACGGTAGATTTCTTTTGTGTAAAGTGTATACGGGCCAGTTTTCCTCACAGAGTCCTCCACGGAGGCAACCCTCCTCTTAGGCAGATAGACCTCGAGTGCTTTGCCTCGAGTCATAACGGACATCTGCTTTGTTTTTTCACTTGGGCAGGCAATCATTTGTACCAACGCCACCCTTCCTATAAAGCAAAGCAATTTTCTGCTATTTCTATACTATCTGTGTCATATTCCCTTTTGTGCTAGTTTGCTTTCTTAAAGTATGAAATAATGTGTCTGTATTTTAATATTCACATCTCACAGGTAATTTCTTGCAAGGTTGCAGCGATAAGAACAAATCCGTGATTAAGTTTGTACACCAGTGTATATTACATTATTGTTGCATGTTACAGGTTTATTAAAATTACACTAAATAACTAAGACAGATTAAAAGGAGAACTTGAAATTTTAATTAAATTTGGGATGAATAATAATTTTTCCAAAGAAGTAAAACAACTAAAAATAGCTCAAGGAGAACACAAAAAGAAACCGAAATTCTCCTTAACATACAAGGGATATCGCAGGTCACAAATTCAATCACAGAATAATGTCTAAAGCTCGAATTACTAAGCAGAAAATTTAACAGCAGAACTCAGTGTAAAAGACTAAGAACCTGGACTTAGCTGACTTATGGGTGCTCAGAGTCTAATATTTATACTACTGCTCAATTGGAAGCGAAGATATTTCTGGCTTTTTATAGAAAACCTCTCCTATAGATTCAAAAACGCGTTTTCCTTAAATTTCTAAAATGTAGCCAAGAAGATACAAAAATCATCAAATCTCCTCTAATTTTAGTAGATGATTTTATTATATTTCTGAAGTTATCGTTGAGTGAATTTCATAATTCCAACGTCAATCGACTCAATTAAAATCTATACAAAATAATACATGAACCAAACACACGGAAACACAATGAGTAGCCATATGTTATACATGTTCCCGGAAATGAATGAATGCCGGCATTATATTGAATGCCTAGACAATATACAGAATGCTAGAAACTGTGCTTCAAAATATGAAGCAATTAATATTTTAGGCATTTCTTAAGTATTCTATGTAGTGAAAAGATAAAGCAGAAAATGTATAAAATACTCACTGTAATGACGTCACACAACAAGGTACATGGCTTTCATTGCTCGCCATCATCAGCAGAAGAATTCCATCACGACGATTCTACGATAAACTAATGCGAGTCAAAGAACAAAGAACAGAATTTTCCAAACTACTTACCAGCAGACAGAAAGGAAAAGAACAAGATGGCTACTGGCAAAGAACCATGGGACTATTGGTTGTAGAATCACTATGCTGCGATGTTTTGGAAAAACAAATTTTAATTGATTTATCTTGCTAAAAGAAGGTGTTAGTGCTATTGTATTCTACATTACGTGTTTTCAATAAACGCTTTTTCATGACTTGCTTTCAATACTTTACCTAAATAGCTTTTTTCATTCCATATATAGTACCTAAGTATAACATCCAGTGCTTAGGAAAAGTATAAATAATATCAAAATAATCCAGGTATTTTACACTTTGCCACAAAAATGCCAAACATTGTATAGAATGCATGCTTTTCATACATTGACAATCGCATACATACATAGATATATTACACACATATATTTAATTAAACAGAGGATGAAATAAATTAAAAACCAGAACACAAACTCTGGCTATGTACAGGGAAATGTAAAATCTATTTACCATCATATATGTTTTTTTAACTTTCTGTTGTGGTAATTATGTACTAAATTTATTTTTCATATGTTGGTTTGTCTGAGGCTTTTAGAGCGGAAAGTAATTTCATTATTCGAAAATGAATATGATTTGTTTATATTTATTTATTGTTTATATTTCTTTTTAATCTCTATATATCTATTTTACCACTCCATCTCATCTAATTATACGTTTGCTTGCGAAATCATTCCGTTAAGGATTTGAAATCCGTTTTAGCATTCATATACATTATGTTAAAATATCACAGTCGAATAAGTGACAGTCGAGTGGTCATAATAAAACTTCTTCAATATATGAAATCCTGGCGGCCTCTCCGCTCAACCAATGGAAATTAAATTTCAAATATTGTTATCATGGATTGTAGGAACTCGAGACTGGGGTGATTTAAAATAGTACAGCTTTCACGGTTATCGTTACAGTAAAAACATTTTGAAATTTTGGAACGGCAAAACCTATTTTTTTCCTGCGCAAATTGATTCCGGATTGAAAAACATAGAAACTTTTGGAAGGATACATATGACCCCAATTCCAAACCATTGACCAAAGAAAAGCGAGCACCAATGAAAAAAAAAACTTTCATTCGAATTAGAAGTTTTCACCTGCTCCCCTTGCCGATAACGATAACCTGATGCCGGGATTGTGACATCGTGACTAGGACCTACAGATAGTACAGAGTAAGCGGCATAAACTCGTAGTTATGGAACTTTCAGTTCTGGCAACTCCGGTTTGACGTTTACTCGTTGATTTAGTAACCCGCAGCCAGAATCCATTGGGTCTGGTGGGCATGTGGTGGCCACAAACGCAATTACTGAGGGACTGTCTCCAATGTATTGTTGCAGAAGTTGACAAACACATTTACGACGTGTGGAGGTGCATCATCTTGAATCCACACAATGTCATTAACGACATTTCGCTACTGCATTTCTGGAGTCACGTAATTCGGCAGTATTGTTCTTTACCGAGCACTTATGATACAGGACGTTTTCGTACCTGTTGAAGTGAACGCTTCGAAGAAGTACGGACCGAGAACGAATGCGCTTGCGATGCCGCATCACTTCATGTAAAGACGCTGGTGCCACATCGGAGGATTTTAGTCAGCCCAATAAATTCAGTTCTTGGAGTTTCATTAGTAAGCAGCAATGCATTCTCATCTCCTATCCAGCGGTCACCTGCTATCTTCATCATATCTAACGAGGAAAAAATTGGCAAAGTCAGTACGTTATTGCTCATCTCCAGGTTGTCCCTGTCAGTTAGAACGATACGAAACATCGCAAAACAGAACACATTCATGGTCGTGCGGATTGCTATTTGTCTATAAGTTCTTCAGTTTTTTTTTTAAGCCAAATCAAGTCCTGTTTTTACGGAACATTGCCCTCATCTTAGCTTATAATTTCACTGTTAAACTCGTACTGCGTCAGCAGCATTTTTCCCGTTTAGTAAAACAGCTTTATCGATTCACCTCGTTGTTTCCCTGTAAGTGTCATCTTGTTAGCACGTTCGAACACCTGACCGATGGAACAGTCTTCCCACACTGCTTATTAAAGGTTTCTACAAGCCAAACTTTGTACATGATATTCTGTGATTTGTGTTTCTAGTGTCTATCCCGGTGAATTATGCAAAATGCGTCAGTGCGGCTACTCTCTAAGTTGTCATTGGTCCTTTACAATATTCTTCTTTGCAAAATTTTACAGCGGTAACTTTCGTCATACAAGCATCGTTTTATCAATGCTCTAATCAATTTGCGCAGGAAAAACATTGGGTGTTG